CTTAGGTGTTTAAATTTGTACTATTTTATAGCGTTATCTAGCAGGATAAAGCAAACATTTATGATGTTCATCAAGTCTCTTGGATCAATAAATGATATGTACAGTAGCTGACTATCCCTACCAACATTAGAAGACTGTGCTAGACACCAATAAGGTATACTGTGATCGTAATAATTCTGTGTTTTTTCAAACTCTGCATTCAAAATACAAATAATCATCTATTTCAGTTAAAATATAAATAAAATTTAAACACCTAAGTGTTATCAAGTATTCTATTTCTTAATGTTCTACTGAAGACATTAAGTTTAAAAAATAGTTTAAATAGGTACTAGTAACTAGAAATATAGCACATAATATTTGAAAACACTAAATACAAAACTGGAAACACATAGAAACACCATAAAAACAATTTCTTTGCAAACCTAGTATCTTTAGTTTTATGACTAAGATATTTTGAGAATAAGGAAATATAATTATGTACACATAAGGACAATTATTAATTCCAGAAAAAATAAGTTGTGTAGAAAAGGAAAACTAATCACAGCATACTACATGCCTGTGGTGAATAATTCAAATAGTCTAACACTATAAGCCATGACTCTGAATTTCTTCCTACCACCAAGAGGACGTAAACAACAGAGGTACAGATTGTATAAGGGTCGCTCCTTGACTCACAGCAATTCGACAGGCTGGCTGCTTTTAAAATTAAAAAAAAATCAAGCAGTAAGAACAAGTGAAAGCAACTGCCTGGGAGAGGGAGCAGTGGCCTTCAAGACAGTGCTGTTTTTCAAAAGAAGCCTCCGAATTAAATGACTCTTCCAATTAGATGTAGTTATAAATCTGCTTTTTATAAAGGAGTAACTTTAAGATAAATATTACTCTATTAAAATATAAATACCTGTGCGGGGTGTGGTGGTGCACTCCTTTAGTCCCAGCACTCAGGAGGCAGAGGCAGGAGGGTCTCTGTGAGTTCAAGGCCAGCCTGGTATACATAGTGAGTTTCAGGCTAGCTAGGTCTACAGGGAGACCCTGTCTCAAAAAGACTAAAAATACAAACACACACATACACACCCATAAGCAGATTATCAAATGCATTTTATAAGAGTGTTTTACAATGTCTATTTATACATTTTAACCCATGGAAATAACTAAATTTCAGATCGCTGACCAGTTTCTAAAGCTAGCCCATGTGGCTCGCTCCAGGTGTTTTGTTTTTTTTTTAACAGGCCCTGCTCCTCCTACTCCGTGCTGTTTAGTCTCATTGCAGCTGCTCTGTGCACACCAGACTTCTAAAGCTCTCTGTTAATGAATCCCTACTTAGTCCTTTTTTAAAAAAAAAATATTTATTTTTATTATTTTTTATGTGTATGAGTATTTCATTACAACAGTATTGACAAATTCAATAACAATTTCCAGAGATAAGATGATTCTCTTTCAAAATTGGCTGTATATTTTTAGGTACAGATGAATTATTACGCTTGTACAGTCTTTTACTCATTATAAACTCTATAAGACATAAAATTAAATAAGGTTTTACCCTTTAAAAAAGATCTCCATTTCATTATTAAAATACACAGTTTCATGCAGAAAACTTCATTTTAAATGCAAT